ATGGTTCAAAATGTGGCGCAACATTATGTATATTGTAGCCAAAGGCTCTTACGCTCCATTCTAGTCAAGAATAACCAATAATGTCGAACTGTCCACAGACATTCGTATCCTGTAGTTGGTTTTTCATCTGTTCCGCGCCAGTGAAACTTTTTATTTAAGAGAATTCGATCGCAAAGTCGAACGTAAGAGCCATTGGAACTATTGCTGCACATGATGAACTTACTGACATGATTAAATTAAAGCGCTTTCTGATTAACGGTCAAAAGTCGCTGTAGCAAAGCTCAAAGTTCAACAGTGCAGTCAGGAATATTAATGATACTGAAAAAGTGGTGCAACGCCTTTCAATGACCCTGTGCGAGTCGAGCGATGATCTGTTATGCCAATATATTTTCATGAAACTCTCCTATTTGTCTGCTTCAAAATTCATTCATTTGTCTGTTCCGAAAATTTCGTGTTTTGTAGACCGGGCTGAAAAACTGTAAAGAAAATTAGCAAAGTACATGTCGTGGTTGGATTAAGCGAGGTTGAAGATGATGGAAATCCGTTTAAGACTCTTATCACGCGGAAACAGTTTGCTAGTCGTAGATGAATTGCCATACAACACAAAACTTGAGAACATCTCTTTAAGATAGACACTGTCTTTGATTTAGAAACGATCATAACCTGATATCGAACTGGGACTGTTTCTGACGTTCAGGCATTGCAAGTTTGGGTTGCTACTTTGCTCTTCGAAATTTGTTAATTATCATGATCATAAACATGATCATAATTATGAAGATGAGAGCAACAATGCAGTCTTCATTCTTTCCATTATGATGCTATACAACCACGATGTATTTGCAGCAAAGTTTTAACTCTTCATTATTTACGGGTTATTTCACCGCAGCTCGTTTACTTGTTGACTGCCTTTGCAGTTGCAAAAATTTTCTGCGTTTAATTTTAGTCCTACGGACTAAAGCTCCATCCGGTTCATGCTGTTACAGATCATTTCCAATGTTCAGTATTAGATGAACGAATGATCCTACTGGCGCTGGGCATTAAGACACAGACCACCATCTCTTAGCAGTCTTAAGAGATTAATGTAAACCTGAGGGCTAAACAAAGTAATAGACGAACTAATATTTCAAAATTAATTAATTTAAATCAGGATAATTCGCTCACACAGCTCTCCAAGAATGTTTTGAAGTGACTTATTTTTTGTCATTTGAGTATTTTAATCTCTTGTTACTCTACCTGATGGTGATTAGATGACGAAAATAGAAATTGAATATGGTTGCTCGTTAAAAATTGCACATGGCTCACCAGCATTATAAAAAATGAAGGAACCATGGACGCTAGGAATAATGTTAGTTTCAGGATTTTAAAATTGCTTGACCAGCTTTATTTCAGCGTTGGATGCAATAATTGGAAGCTGGGTCTGTTCTGTCAATGAAACACTGGCGAAACCGTTTTAACGCAGAGTTTCAGTATATCTATGAAACGGTATTCAGCGGATAACTGAATGACTGTATTTTGAAGCAAACTGTCTCTACCGATCTCGAGTATATGAAATGCATCGCGATCAATTTCTTTACCATAAATCCGTACTGATCCAAGCCCTTTTCAGTACAATCAAAATGAGAAGGTTAAATGGCAATTTTAAGCCAACATCATACCAAGGAACTTAAATTTTGTTGCTCTAGTTATTCACGTGACCAAAGGTCACATGAACTTGGACAAATGGCCAGGCCTACCCACGTTTTAGCATTCTGAGCTGGACGGCAGAAAGGCATTACTCTCGCGAACGACGGCGGTTTCCTATTCCCGCGTACAGTATTCGTATAAGTAGCTCTATGCAAGAGCTCGACGACCCTGAAAGTAGATATGGAAGACGAGGCTTTATCTAGGTGAATTTTCTGTGAAGATTCGAGACTTGTGGTTACGAGATTCGATATTTATGGTTCATTGTTACAACTGCGTCGCCAGACCAAGATTTGTGAACTCATGACTGGCTTAATGCATACTACAACAACGGCCAGTTCAGAGAGAGAATTTCAAAGTTTGGCTTGGCATGCGATCCCTCCCATTCATCGTAGATTGTTTTTCGTCTAATCGACTCCAAGGTTCAATTATACGGGACATTTTATACGCAAATGAGGTAAACCGATCGTGAAGTGAAATTGTCAGGAAGCCCTTGGAAGTTCCAAAAACGATTTTAACATCTGGAAGAGATGACCTCGTATGTTACCGCTGAAGTGTAATCATTCTCCATCACTCTATGCTTACACAAAAAATTGAATGTTTGTATTCTTGCTCTTCGGAATGTTATGATACTTAGAGAAACGACGAGCATGCTCTTCCTCGTATACTTGGCGGGGACCATCTGCATCTAACTGTTCATATGGATAACATGAAC